TTGTTGGTTGCCTGGAAAACCAATAAAGGCTTAATTGAAAAATCAGCGCCGGTCAGTCGATGTAGTTAGGTGTCTAGTTTAAAATAAAACAAACCCGAACTCTTCAGCTTGAAGTATATTAAAAAACCTTGGGGCGCCGTTCAGGGCCCTTTTTGGACCTTGATCTCTGGAAAACTCCTAAACCGTAAGACTTGGAGACAAAAATTTTTTCATTCCCGTAACTCATTGTACCGAACATTTCTGAAAAATTTCGTCAGGATCGCACGTACGGTGTCGGAGATAATTTCTGGGGGGGCCTTAAATCTAAAAAAAGTTCTATTGGAAAACAAACCTTAAACAGCGATAGCAAAGCGTCCACTGTACGCTCGGCTTTTCTCAGTAAACCGTAAAACAGCGTAATTCCAAAACGTATGTATTGATACAATGAGTACGCTTTGCTGTTAGAAATAACAAGCTCATATTTTCTTTTTTCTTTTCCCAGTTCTATGACAGCAGCCATATTGAACATACTATGCGACAAAATTAGGATCAATGAACGACTGCAGTTCTAAGATGGTGAGAAACTGAAAATAGAGACATGATGGGTAATCATAAACGAACAATTATACGTAACTACTTTGGGCATTTAACGAGAATTAATCTCGTTTTATTTGTTTAACGTCACTTAACGTTCGAAATAATATCCTACGTGCTATTCTTAAGGGCTAGTGCGACCGGGAATAAAAATCGTCGTCAAGCTACAAATAGACGGAAAAATAGACTACAGAGAATTTCACTTCAGCTAAAAGTTCTAAATTTGAAAATAAGCGATATTGTGCGCTGCAGATCAGAGCTGAGCAAGTCAAGTCAAAAATGACTTAGGGGGGGAGGGGTCCTCCCAGCCGTTTTTTTCCACCAGTTTGTAGAGGACACCTCGACGTATGTGTCCCAACAAAGCTTCGGTTCCCGGATCTATAGTTTTTGATTAAAAAAATTTTTAAGCTTTTTTCGGTTTTTTTGCCCTGTTTTTAAAATTTCAATAAAAACTTCATTTTTAGATATGAAAAGTTGATTCTAGCATAGTGCGATAGAGAATATTAATTTGTATATGGGGAAATACTTTTCATCGTTCCGAATGAAGTTTGACACAGAAATTTAACGTTCACCTTCCCGAGGAAACTTCAGAGCCAAAAGTACTTTTCATCTCAACTTATGGCTAGTTTCGCTAGAACCATGCATTTTGAAGCAAAACTCTGGGTATAAAAATTGTTCAGAATCGAATTCTGCAGTCCCCAACAAGAAATTATTTTAAAATTGTCTTGTTTTGCTTTAAATCGAAAAATACGAAATTTTAATTGAAAACACGAATTTTTTCGTTGAGTCATCATTTTACAAATGGAACTTTATGCTGGTAGAGTAGGCTAAATTAACGTTAATTAGTACTAATTAGTCAATAACAGGAAGGAAAGAACAAAATTTTTTGCATATTTTCTCGTAGAAAATATTCTCCACGCATTTCTCTATCGATCTAGGCAAGAACCAAGTCTTTATGATGAATGTGGCATGGACAGGGATTTTTTTGATAATAGTCTCTGGTTCAAAAATTTAGCAATATTTTTTTAAGTAATTAATTTTTCTTAGCCACATGTCAGTAAGCCGAAAAAACTTCAGGACATATATTTCGAAGTGTTCTCTACAAACTGGGAACTTTAGAGCAAAATCTACATAGGGGACCCCCCCTTAAGTCAAGTCAAGTCAGGTCATTTTTGACTAGACTTGACTTGACCTGGAAAATTTTTGATGACTCATGACTTGACTTAATCTGGCTTGAAAATTTTTTAAAAGACTTGACTTGACTTGTAACATGGCATTAAAAATCAAGTCAAGTCATGCATATTTTTAAACCGCTAATGCAATCTAGTTTTAAATAATAATTCATAATCATTTATGAATGTTGATGTTATGATATATAAGAATTTCCGCAGAGCCACCCGACACGCATTTTGCAATAGTATAGCAAGTCTGTGTTCTAATACCAAGGAGTAGAAACTCTTTTATGCCTCTTTCTATGGAAAAACAAATTCAAGTCAGGAATTGTGACTTGACTGATGAAAAATTTGTATTACTCATGATTTGACTTGACTTGGCTTGTGACTTGGAAAACCCGTGACTTGCCCAGCTCTGCTGCGAATGCACTTACTTTATTAACAGTTTATGTATGGAGATAATGTGTGACTACCCAGGTCATAGAACCGTGATGAATATATTATGTGAAAACGGGTGTTCAAACTGTTCGTTGGAACGGGTGGTTGAACTCCCTCTGAAATAGCAGTCAAAAGCGGAACAGAAACTATTATATGAGTGGGCGGTCAAACGCCCGTTCAAAGTACTCGTTGGAACGGGTGATTGAACTCCCTCTGACATCGGTGGATAAATGTAATAGAGAATTAGTAGGTGAACGGGCGTTAATAGACCATGTGGAACGGATTGTTGAACTCCCCTTCACATGAAGAGAAGATGACAGTTATGAACTAGTTCTTGAACGCCCGTTTTATGGATTTTGCGAAACGGGCTGTTAAACTCCATTAAATGCAAACTTGTGAACGAGTGTGAAACGGACACAGTTGAAAAATTATATCAGTTTTGAACGGGTTCGGAACGGAGTTCAGAATTTTGAACGGGGTTCCGACGCACGTTCCATGTTTTTTTTTCGCTCTTGGGATAATAGTAAATTCTATTGAATTGCTTCATCCCATAAAACAGACTGTTGAACAATGTGCTACTGTAATGAATCACATATTTTCGCTATAAACTTACAGCTTATACACTTACATTACATTCTGTATACTGCTTTCATTTAAACTAACTGCTCAAAAATACGTTATTTCATTAGTAATTAATTTTGAATTATCGTTTATATTATTATTTATACCTCTACGTAATTACCAAAAACGAATGACATCCATTTCTTATAACAGTGGATATAACAATTGACAGCAATATCCAACTGCATAGGGATTGCATCATATCATATGAATCCTTTGGCAAGATTTGTCCTTTGTTGTTGTTTTCTTATTCTTTCTTCTTTTATTTCAGCTTACTTATATTTATTCAGTAGTAGCTTATTTTTCGTTTATGTACTTAAAATTGTTATGCGGAGCCCTCAAGAGTGCTTTTATTTCAATAAATAACACGAAATGCGTCGGCGAAGCGAAACTCCGAATTTTGTTATTAATTAAAAGCACATTATCTCTACTTGAACTTTTATTCTGACCTAAGGTCGATTATTGAAAAGCAAGAGTTGAGATGAAAGATAGATTTGTGTCTTAGATATACAAGTCGATCTGTTTTATCATAAATTTACCCTCTTAAATTTGGACTCTTAAGCAAGGTTCGAAACGATCGTTGTAAGTAGCTTTGAATCCTCTTATATACTCACCTTTCACCCTTCTTACATTAAAACATCAATCAAACTATAATTATTGTTCTAAGAACTAATAAGAGACATAACAGCAGATAGAAAGAAATATTCAACAATCTAACATTAGAATAAATCATAATCGATAAAAATATCTTCACTCCTCTCTCTCTCTCTCTCTCTTTCTACACCGAGCAGCACCTATTAAAAAAAACCTTGGATTTTTTTAGCATTATAATGATAACAAAGTATCAGATTCCTTTTGTTTTCAATCTTTCTATTGTCGCATTTTAATGAAAAAACATTCAATTTTCTGTGATTTAGCAAACTATTACGTTGGAAGATATCAAATATATTGAATTAATCCTCATCAAATAAAAGTGTTCTATAAAAATCTAGTCGAATGAGTGCCTCTACTACAGTTATCCTTACAACTTCAATTATCATCACAACTATGATTTACCTTCGAATTGTAACTTTTCTGGTAACAATTAGTATTGTTACAAGTGTTGATGTATTTGTACCTATATCAACAAAAGTACCTGATCCATCATTTTATCCACATATTCCTCATCTATCTCAACCACAATGACTTAATTTATCTCATGAGTGACCATTACATACAAATAAATTTTAATTCACTACTTGGTGAAGGTTACAATCCCATTATCATACATCCATTTGTACTACTAATGAATGACGAATCACCATATTGTATTTTACTATCTTTTACAGAACAATTAATATTTGGTCAACAAATTGACAAAACAAGAATTAAATATTTTATGCATATAGTGTTAAAAAATATTCAAGTTAGTACAACAGAGTTTTCGGCAAAAAATTTTGAAATTATTGATGTTGATGATTCTGGTTTTGATTTAACGTTAAAACTGCGACAAAAAAATTCTCAGGCTCCTGTAACAATGCCTGTTGTACGTGGTATAACATATGTTACATTTAAATATAATTTAGCAACACCAACAATTTCAACTACTCATGCTAACGGCTGATCTCAAAAGTTTTTGAAAAAATGTCCCTCCATTTTTCATCTGCAAAAATAGATTTTGGAAAAATAAAAAGTATCTATTCAGAATCTATGTTGAGAGCTTTCTATCTGTGCGTTCAAATAAATTCTATCATGTATTGTCCTGGAGTAACCAGTACATCTTTCGACAGCATTATAATGTAGTCTGTAAGGGAAAAATAACTCAGTATTTTTTAATTTTCTTTTGTTCATTCCATCGAAATTAGTCGATTTTTTTCCAACTTTTTTCTATCCGGTTTGTAGAGAATTAAACGGTGATTATAAGAGGAAAAGGGTCAACGAAATCTAATTAAGCGAACATGAAAAAGTCGAAAAATACTGAAATATCGGTTTCTTTTGGCGCAGCCATTTTGAGCTGTTTTTACAGGCAACATTTTAATGTTGTCGAAAGATGTGCTCGTTACGCCAAGACAGCACATGATAGAACTTTTTGAGCACACAGATAGAAATCTCTTTCAACGTAGATTCTGAATAAGTATTATTTATTTGTCTGAAATTTGTTTTTATAGATGAAAAATGGAGGGACATTTTTTCAAAAACTTTTGAGATCAGCCGTTATATCTTAACCCTATTATTCCTACACTTAACCCCCTTATCTATATCCTTAACCGTTCATATGCATATTCAACTTTCGATTTTCTGTGCTAAATTGTTTATATGTATCATTAATCCCTAATCTCTATCTTCAATCCCTCAGAGCCATACCTAAGCCGTATTTGTATATGGTATACTGAATCTCCTTTTTTTATGCTTAATCGCTTATATATATAACTCCTGTTGCCCCTCTTATATATTTAAAATTGGGCGTAAATAATGTAAAGTTAGTA